ACTGCAGTTTTTTCAGCCCTATATATATATATATATATATATATATATATATATATATATATATATATATATATTTTTCATTTTAGCTAATGATAATAGTCTCACACAGCCAGACTTTTGATCATGTCATACAGTCTCTTCAACACTGCAGTTTATTCTGCCCTAAAAACTTTAGCCAGATGGACGATCTCTATTAGGAATTTCCTCTCCTAAAACAAAACAGGCACAACAACCCTAACCACCTGTTAAAAAAAACAAACATCTTACCGATTAATCGTCGTTCTGGGGGTAAACTGACAGCCGTCTGGTCTGCGAACCTGCACAGGATCATATGCTCCTGTGGAAACCATATAACACGTTAACATACCAAACACATGCAGACACATCAATAAACAAACTTGCATCTAAACGTACACGCACAAAAATATCTGAAAAAAAGCATGTGTGCGGCTCAGCTAGCGTAAATTGCAGAGAAACATCGATGCATCAGATCGTTAGGGTTGTGGTGAGAGAACAGACCATTTATCAACCCTTACAACCAGCCATTAAAGGGAAACAGAGGAAAGCAGCACCAAGTTCATTTTATATTAATCAATATACTCTAATTGCATTTTTTGCAAGGAAGGTCGCAAGGAAGTGCCGCAAAATGACTTCCTCTGCTGTTGATGACCAACGATGGCTTCAAGCAACCATTATTCTGCATTAACTGAGTGAAACAAGTGCTGATGGAAAAGAACGTAACAGCTCTGGCAGATTGATTCCTCCTATCAAGTTCAATCCTCTAGGCTAATAGCTGCGATCAATGCTATAACTCAGAATAACGTCTCAAAAACAGGCTTTAGCTCAGTAAAGTGTTTCTAGAGCATTTTTAGTATCCGTACCAATGGGAAACACTGCGTCGATTATGCTAGCTTGGAAAGAAGCACAGAAAATCTCTCTTTTTAAATTTCATTTTGAACAAATCAAACTCAAATCAAGTCCGAACAATTAAAATAGATTTTTTTCTGTGGGGAATTTCAATGCATTGAAATCATTTTATCAATGCATTTAGTGCACTGTGACTTTAAATAACCCAGTCAACTTTAACAAACCAGAAAGAAAAGTATTTGTATCTAAACTGTGTGTAGATCAAATTTTGAGTGATATTTTCCTGTGCCAAAGCTGGTAGGGTGTTAAGGGCGATTGCCAGGTTTGCAATGTAATATCACACCTACAGTATCCTCAACGAGTCCAAACAGTTTAATTCATAATTCAGTTTCTTCAAATTCCAAGTTAGAGCAAAAGTGATGTTTGTTTTGGCAAACACTACTAATTAAATGACTGTTTGCTCTAGATCTACGCTCAGGGAACTGCCTGCCTCATGTAGCCCCCTATGTAGGTGATATCTCTGCAGGGGCCGTGAGCGCAGTGTGAGAGAGGCAGATGCAGGAGTCAAGCGAACACTGATGACTGTGAGATACGACTGATTAACCTCATCCATTACTCACACTTCTGCCTCACTGTTCCGTCAGCCCCTGGAGATAAGACTGGGAAAAATACAACGTGCAACTACAGTACATGGGCACTCTATTCCCAGGAAAACCCTATTTCAGCAGAGCTTGAGAAAATCAACAATGAAGAGAAGGAAAAACATTGGCTTATGGACAGATGTTTTGTGCTCCTCAGAATCTGTGGCATGTTTGTGTACAGTAACATTTTCACAAAGCTGCTTCTTAGAGCAAAGAGCTGATGGAGATTCATCTATGCTTCGGTTTTGTCCTTATAAATTTTGGATTAAATTATCTTTTTGGTAACAATTTAGATTAGAAAACACTATTCACTTATCTATTAACCAGCTGCTTATTAGCATGCAAATTACTAGCATATTGGCTGTTTAAGTGTACTTATAAAACACATACTAATGACTTATTCTGCATGACCATATTTTAGATCCCTGAAACCTACCCAATACCTAAACATATCTACTACAACAACTACCTTACTTACTATGAAGCAGCAAATTAGGAGTTTATTGAGGGAAAATCTTAATAGTGAATGTGTGTTCTCTAAACTAACGTGTTACCTAATTTTTACACCAATAGTCAATATTTTAAACAAAACAAAAAGAAATAAAATAAAATTATATATTAAAAATGTATTAGAACAGTGAATCATAAAGAATTGAACATATCCAGAATCAATGATTGAATAATGGTTTTTTTTTTTGGTACATTTGATTTGTGACTGACTAATTTATGACTTAAAAAGAATCTGCTCAAAAGAGTTATTCATTCATGACTCTTTACAACAGTGGCACTGTATTTGTTGTCAGTTTATTGTCTAAGCATTTTATTTATAGCATGATATAGTATTTTATTTATAGTATTTAACATACTATAGTAATTTTTCATCTAAAATGCAATGCAGACTGCAGATTAACTATTCCTAATTTTTATAACACACAAAAGAAAAAAATCATTTTTTTTTTTTTTTTTACAAACTTTCTATCCATGGTCAAGAACTATTAAAAGAACATCATGAAAACAGTGGTTCTGATTATTTTAAAAAAAGTTTTGTTTCCCTAACCCTTTTTAACACTACGTAAAAAGTATATTTCAAATGAATACAGGCATTTAAAAAAAAAAGTTGGAAAAAAAGGTAACATAAAATGATTAATGCTTCCCTGGCAATTAACTGAAATAAATGTAAAAAAAAAAAAACGGAAAAAATTGAGCATAAGTACAAAAGTAACCAAAACAGAAATATAAATGTAAAAAAATAATGCAAACTCATAAAAATGACAAATGCATTAAACAAAACTTCTAAAACGAACTAAAATTAAAATGAAAACTGAACTAATTCAACATATTTAATAAACACTATAATAGTATATAAATAATACTAAATTAACAATTGACATATAATGTATTATGATGGAGATTCATCTATGCTTCGGTTTTGTCCTTATAAATTTTGGATTAAATTATCTTTTTGGTAACAATTTAGATTAGAAAACACTATTCACTTATCTATTAACCAGCTGCTTATTAGCATGCAAATTAGAAGAATTGAACATATCCAGAATCAATGATTGAATAATGGTTTTTTTTTTTGGTACATTTGATTTGTGACTGACTAATTTATGACTTAAAAAGAATCTGCTCAAAAGAGTTATTCATTCATGACTCTTTACAACAGTGGCACTGTATTTGTTGTCAGTTTATTGTCTAAGCATTTTATTTATAGCATGATATAGTATTTTATTTATAGTATTTAACATACTATAGTAATTTTTCATCTAAAATGCAATGCAGACTGCAGATTAACTATTCCTAATTTCTATAACACACAAAAGAAACAAATCACTTTTTTTTTCTTTTTTTTTTTTACAAACTTTCTATCCATGGTCAAGAACTATTAAAAGAACATCATGAAAACAGTGGTTCTGATTATTTGATTCATGATGATTAACACTACGTAAAAAGTATATTTCAAATGAATACAGGCATTTAAAAAAAAAGTTGGAAAAAAAGGTAACATAAAATGAATAATGCTTCCCTGGCAATTAACTGAAATAAATGTAAAAAAATAATGCAAACTCATAAAAATGACAAATGCATTAAACAAAACTTCTAAAACGAACTAAAATTAAAATGAAAACTGAAAAAAAAAAAAAACTAATTCAACATATTTAATAAACACTATAATAGTATATAAATAATACTAAATTAACAATTGACATATAATGTATTAGCATTTAGTACTTTATTTTCGATACCAGATCTCAAGAGCAGTCTAAGTTGGAAAAACAAGGCATGAATATCTGCTTCTAGTATCAGGCTAACAAGACTCGTTCCAGTTATAGTGTCAGTACCTCTTGTCAGTCATGAGCTGAACATAACTAAACACTGCTCTTCACATACATGAGGCATATTATGAGGCTCTCCTGTGGAGTTTTCCTAGAAGAGTCTCGCACTCAGGACCAGGCAGTGTGACGTCCTACACGTGTAGGCGATAATGAAAAGAGTGAAAGCGAGGGCTGAAACACTTACCTTACAGCTCAAAGTCTCTGTAAACCTCGCGCTGTGGAGAGAGACGGAGGGGGGCAGACTTAATGAACTCACACACACACACACACACACTGAGGTGCGAATGAAAAATGACATGACGCGTTAAAGAAAGAACAAGTTTAAGGAGAGGACAGTCTATCCGGATCAAAGGAGATCTGTGGAGTTTTCCTAGAAGAGTCTCGCACTCAGGACCAGGCAGTGTGACGTCCTACACGTGTAGGCGATAATGAAAAGAGTGAAAGCGAGGGCTGAAACACTTACCTTACAGCTCAAAGTCTCTGTAAACCTCGCGCTGTGGAGAGAGACGGAGGGGGGCAGACTTAATGAACTCACACACACACACACACACTGAGGTGCGAATGAAAAATGACATGACGCGTTAAAGAAAGAACAAGTTTAAGGAGAGGACAGTCTATCCGGATCAAAGGAGACGCTGAAAACATTCTCTACAGACAAAAGCACATGTTTCGGTTCGGTTCCAGAAATAAGCCGCGTGTAAACACAGCAGGATGTCTCATGTAACACTTGCATGATAAAGAAGAGCTCTGAAGCTCTTGGAGATTATGTGTGTGGTAGGTAATATGTTTGCTACATTAACTGTCTGTCATCAGGTCGCCCTTTCTGGCCTGCTGTCGAATGCCACAAATGACAAACCACTGTCATGGCAACACCGTGAACATAACCACGGAAAAACAATTTCCTCGCTGCTCTTGCCACCCTGATGCTCATGCCCCGCGGCAAAATTCCTGCCTGAGATTGAATGAAAGTTTACGCCAGATTTGGAGAGCGATAGCCTGCGATTGGGGAAAAATTGATGACTATTCGAAAGTGATTCTCACTGAAACTTTAAAACACTCACTCTCCGTTTTACCTCATTTTTACATGTTCTTGCCAACATTAAACGAGGCTCAGCTGTGTGATTGTTGATACAGGACATTCAATTCTGAGAACGATGATGTGAAGTATAAGACAGAAATAAACGCAATAATTAATGTTTATTATGGTTTTCTATTTTTGATCGACCTCATTCATTCTTGTCAGTATTTTTTCCTGAGTATGCAGAGCTTAGCATTTAATTCTGTGGATTATTATAGATCTACACCGTCATTGTGTACTGTGGAATTAGGAAAACATGTGAAAAGAAAGATAGCAAGCAAGAAAAGTCAGAGAGACAGAGACGCAGTTTTCACCTCTTGGGAAAGTTGAACTTGAGTGTGTTTTGAATGAACCCGTAGCAGCATGGACTAATCACAAATCCCGCCCGCGCCTGGAGGCAGCGATCCAACACCATGTCTGTCGCCACTCCGCACGCATGCAGGGCCACCTGAAATAGACACAAGACACCAGTCACGCTGGCTCTTAACCAAAAGCTGGTGAGCAACCTACCACCATTGAGCAAGAAAATAATGTGTCGCTTATGGATAAAAGAGTCTATATCATTCTTCTGGGAAGATTTTTCAAAGGTTTTTCAAAGAAGTCTCTTATGCTCACCAAGGCTTTTATTTGATCAAAAATATAGTAAAACAAAAATACCTTACAATTTAAAATAACCATTTCTTCTAGAATATATATTCTAAAATTAAAGTTATCCCTGTGATGACAAAGCTGAATTTTCAGCATCATAACTCAAGCTTTCAGTGTCACATGTTTCTTCAGAAATCATTTAATATGCTGATTTAGTGCTCAAAACAGCTGAAGAAAACAGTAGAAAACTGTTGTTACCTAATATTTTTGTGGAAACTGTGATACATTTTTTTCATCATTTTTTGGTGAATAGAAAGTTCAAAAGAACAGCATTTATTTGAAACAGAAATCTTTTGTAACATTATAAATGTCTTAACTGTCGCTTTTGATCAATTTAATGCATCCATGGTGAATCAAAGTATTAATTTCTTCCAAAAAAAAAATCTTTCTGACCCAAACTTTTGAACTGTTATGAAATCAACTTGAGATGAATCAAATTAATTTACTAAAAAATGCATTAATAATGCAGACAATGACTTGAATACATGACAATTTTTCATTTTTGTAATTAAATTAATTTTCAGATACTTTTTATAGGGGTTAATTTAAGAATATATACATGTCAAGGTATAACTGAAATGGGAAGGATTACAGGTCTCATTAAAAGCATGAAATAGTTAAGAGAAAAAGGTGGATCACACTTTATTTTCTCACCAATTCTCACCATTAACAAACCATTAACTACGACTTTTGCCTCAATGAACTCCTAATTTGTTGCTAATTAATAGTTAGTAAGGTAGTTGTTAAGTTTAAGTATTGGGTAGGATTAAGGATGTAGAATATGGTCATGAAGAATGTGTGCTTTACTAATAAACAGCCAATATGTTAATAATAGACATGCTAATAAGCAACTGAGAACTGGTCCCTATACTAAAGTATTACCAAAAGGTGTATGGAAAACATTTGAACCAGGTTGTTGTATACATAAAAGCTAAATAAAATGAGTTGTATCATTATAAATGTGTGTATTAGACTATTTTCCAGTGCTCAGGGTGGCGTAAATCAATGCATGACAACTAAAAACCAGATTAAACTCTTTACGCTGCTTTCCGCCTGTCCTTGACCACATGTCCACACATCATCTCAAAGCTCTTCCCACCTTTCTGTATCTAGCCGTGTTCTCATTGATCTGTTAGTGGCTCAGCAGTCATACCCCACCGCTGTGACACCGCATGACAGCAGACATCTCTCTGCCTATTAGCAGGAAAAGTGGATCGAACAGTTTGATGGAGGGTAAAGAAAAGTCTTAGATGTCCTCACAGAAGCTCAAGTGAAGATCAAGCGTTCGGCTTGGCTCACGGACCAGTGCCTGTATCCGTCACTGTTAGGGTGAGAAACTGGAACAAATAATGCAAACTGTTGTCTCAGTGAGCGTGTGTGCGCACAGCCGACCAAATCCACGGATTAACACCCTTCAAATCCCCCATAAGAAGTTTTCCGGGAAATGTGGCCAAATCTCAGACGATTCGCTCTACACGCCGCTTGGAGTTGCCATGGAAGAGGAAATATGTCTGTGAACTCTGTGTGGGAAAACACACAGCCTTAGCTGACATTTTATAAGCCGAGACGGAATAAATTAGGAAAAAGCAATATTGGCAAAGTGTCCAGTGTGGATTGTAATTAAGTTCTCGAGATGCTAATTAGACCGAAATGATTCATAATGTCTTTTTAACAGGATCTGGAGTAAAGCCATTCTCAAAAACCCTGGGCAGGTGTTTGAGTATTCAAGGGCCACCCTTATGTACTAATCAGAATCCATTAACGGAGGGTTTCGGCTCTTTGAAGTAGACCACCATCTTATAATGGGGCCATCCATTCACGTCTGAAGCCAACAACAGAGCGCTGCATCACCACAACATGCAAAATCGAGCGTGAAAACCTGGAGCTTTGAAGACGTCGGCAGGTGAATTTCTAAGGTTAACAATGATGCAACAAGACAACAATACTACAGATAGCGTTTCTTAAGGACGCTGAGAGACACTTTCAGAAGATGTTTTGTGAAAGTACAACTTTGAATGACCATTTACTGCAAAAAAAAAAATAATAATAATAATTCACAGGAATTCTGACAATGAGGGACGAGAAACTTTAAAGAGTAAATCGATGCACAACTACTGTACGACTTCAGGTACATCGCAATATGAAAGAAGAAATATAGCAAAACACAGACAAAACTATTCACACCAAAGGCAAAATGAAAAATTATTCTGGCAGATGCCTAAATGCTAGATTCGGCACAATTGGAAAATACAAGATACGAAATTTGATCAAATACTTTACTTTTATGTAGCTATATAGCTATAGCATTATATAGGATGAGGTAACACTTTATTTTAAGATGTCCTTGTTACATGCACTTACTATCATTATTACTATTAATTATGCATAATTACTTGCAAGTAACCCTAAGCCAAACCCTACATAGTAAGTACATGTAGTTAATTAATATTACTCAGTACTTAAATATATAATTACACCGTAACAAGGACACCTTAAAATAAAGTGTAACCAAGGATTACAAGATAGAATGACAATAACAGAGTGTACTTATGGTAACGGTAGAGTTTTGCAATTAAATGCAACTAGGTAGGTAAATTAAACACATTATCATGTCTTTTTGATCTGCGTGATTACTGTTGGCTTTTATGTTTCTTGTGCACAAAACGAACTGTTCTCATATCAAAACAAAGGTAAAAAAAACCATAAGCAAAACCATAAAAACAAACAATACAAAAGTAAAACAGAAACCAAAGCATATTAAAAACAAAAGCATAAATTAATATATAATAAATAAAATAAATACAAAATAAATATATAGTTCAGTCATGAAACTCTAGATGGCGCAGGCTGACAGGTTGTTAAACTGATGATATTCAGAAAGTTAAACGACTTGGCACAAGCTGATTGGTTCATGCTGCATATGCAGCCAATGAGCTTACTGCCTTGCATGTATATGGCTGGCTAGCATTCACTAGCGATTCCTGCAGCGCGCTTTCAGAGTTTCTCTGAAACCCTCCACCTTCCCCAGCTCCACCTGTATAGATCTGCTACGGGTTATTTTATATGCTATTTGTGCAGCAGCAGTATGTCTTAAATACTCATGGCACCGTATCGCCATATGCATTGGCAGTAGCAAGTTCCTGTACTTGCTTGCAGCAGCAGCAATAATCTACAACTACAGCAATAACCAACAGCAGCAGCAATCCAGCAGCGGATCTATTCCGCCAAGACCAAATACATTAGCATTGTCATATCCATCACCATGTTAAATCTTCCGAGAGTTGTCATGATTGAAATATAAATAAATAAATAATCCAAAATAAATAATTAAAATTTTTAGTGAGAACAAGTCGATAGAAAATAACTGTTTCACCTTAAAATATTTTATTAATATTTGTGGGTGAATGTTCACTCTTGGTATGGATGTAAAGCAATCACACTTGAGCTTAACATGATGAAATCACTCTTGGCATTCTTTGGTATAGCGATTAGGCCAGAATCTATTTCTTTTTACAAATGCAACTAGGTTGAAAAACACATCACAGTCATTCCAAGTCTTTCATCGGAATGTCGGATGCTCCGTCTCTAGAACGAATTTACAGTCATAATGAGACAAAGCTGGTGGGCCGTCTCCCAAGAGATCAGATGAATGTTGTTTAGCATGGGAAAGAAGCAGTGTTACAAAGCTCAAGTTAGTTTTTCCTTTGCAAGCAAATCAAGTGGAATTCGCATCAATTTTGTGTGGTCTCCTTTACTGAAGGATCCAACAAACAAAATAAATTAAGGTTTTCTGAAAGCATTGGAAATAGAAGACATTGACAAAGAGCTTAACGTCAACCTCAATGCTAGTTTTTCCTCGTATAAATTATTCAGCATTGGATGGCAAAATAATAAAGCATGCTGCAAAAGCATATTTCTTTATTAGTTTTTTTTAAAGCAGGATTTCATTTTTGCTGATGATATTTCTTTTTCTTCCCTTCAATGGGGGTAAAAAACTTTTCTGTCTTTATAATTAAGTAGTTTGCCCGAGGTGTGGAAGGCACAGCTTCACGACTACGATGCAAGTTCATTATTCACAGCCACAGAACACAGCAGTGCGCTTGTTTCACCATCATTCAACAGGTACAACAAATCAAGTTTGAACAAACAACCCATAACTTCTCTTTTCACATCATTACCCACGTTTAGCAATTTTTTCCTGGTGTAGCTACAAGCTTTATTACAGACTGTCTTAAAAAAAGGAATAGTAGATTTTTTTCACATATATCTAACCCTCTGGGAAACAATATGTATCCGTTTACACACAGTTCTGGTTGTGCTGCTTTGGCAAGCAAAGCCTTTTAATCATTTATGCTAATGAAATGTGAGGGATGCAAGATAATACAAAAGTTTAGAAACTCAAAGACTAGGTAAAATACAAATTCGATACCAATTTCTTTAAAATCTGAAGACTTTTCTGTGATGCTTCCGGTCTCTTTTAATCATAGAAGTTTTAGTAAAATCATTCAAATTCATGCAAATTCATTCATCAATGAATAATTAAAATTTAGGCTGATTTGTAAACTAGTTCAATAACATTATTTTCAATTTCAATATATTAGTAAACATTTAGGTCAGGTAAATTTTAGAACTTCTATCATTAATTATGAAACATTGGTTCAATACAGATAAGTTTTTGTACTAATTTTGCATAAAAAAAAAAAAAAAAAGATATATTGCTTTTGCAAGGATGGAACATTCTAGAAGTGCTTTCTGGAACATTTCAGAACATTGTGAGACTAGTCATAAAAGACAAAAATTCATCCAACATACACTTTTGAAGTTTTGGTCACTCACTTTTAGTAACTCTTTATGTTAAACTGATGTTAGCTTAGTATTATGCATGTACCGTGCAATTTTTATGCATGATGAGTAATAACATATTAGCTTGTATAATTTGTTAGCATTTTCATGAGTACTGTTAATGATACACAAAAAGTAATGTATCATTAAATGAAACAATTAATAATGTATCAAAGTAATCACAAAAAGTGATTTTCGTATACAGCATGTCAAACTTCATAAAGAAGCATAACAAAACTTTTTTTTTTAAATGTTTTACTGTGTTGTTCATTTTCATGCCTGTAAGCCACAATGTTAAAATGTCCCTGATATTTTCAGGTTTTCCATGAACGAGATAAACAACAAGCAAATATAGTATAGTTTAAAGGGATAGTTCACCCAAAAATGAAAATTCTGTCATTAATTACTCACCCTCATGTCGTTCCAAACCTGTAAGACCTTCGTTCATCTTCAGAACACATGTTAAGATATTTTTGATGGAATCTGACAGCTCTCTGACCCTCCCATAGACAGCAAGGATTCTTACACGATCAAGGCCCAGAAACGTAGTAAGGACACGTTAAAATAATTCATGTGACATCAGTGGTTTAACCGTAATTTTACAAAGCTACGAGACAACTTTTTGTGCGCTTTGATCTGAACGTAAACGACGTATCCACGTATATATGTTGCATACGTTGTTTATTCATGTGATACTCTCCAAAATGGCGCTATGGGGTGACACAGAGGAGCCGAATTGTTGAAAAAAGTCGTAATTTTTGTTTTCTTAGCACACAAAAAGTATTCTCGTAGCTTTGTAAAATTACGGTTGAACCCCTGATGTCACAAGGATTATTTTACCGATGTCCTTACTACATATCTGGACCTTGATCGTGTTAGGATCCTTGCTGTCTATGGGAGGGTAAGAGAGCTCTCAGATTCCATCAAAAATATCTTAATTTGTGTTCCGAAGATGAATGGAGGTCTAACGGGTTTAGAACGACATGCGAGTAATTAATGACAGAATTTTCCTTTTTGGGTGAACTATCCGTTTAACAACTTAATGCAATCAACAAAAATGTCCTATCGCTTGCACAGATGCTAAAAGAGTCAGCTATCGCTGATGGAAGTCAAGGAATATTTCATCTCCACATGGGAAAAAATAACTAGATAAACCTAGGATGGTAAATTTGACAAATTTTTTAGGTGACTGTTCGATATGAATCTTGCACGTTCTTATTTTTTACGATTGTGCTAGTTTCCCAAAAGAAGCTCTACACAGAGATACAGGTATTAGTTTTGGGAAACAGTGAAGGTTTGATAAAGCCCCTTTGTGTGGGTAGCTGATAATCCCCTAACCCCGGTCGCATGTGAAGCTCAATACTGCAGCCGCAGCTCTCTGTGGAGATGAGGCCAGGGCTGCAGGCCAAACATCTCATTACTGCCAGAAACAAACAAGAACTGCAGCAAGCACATAGTTCCTCATTTATTACAGACACAACGGTGTCCCTCAAAGATTACACAGCAAAAAAAATCAGATAAAATATCTTATGTTTATTTTTTTAACCACATGGACAAACTGTAAGAAAATTTTGAGATTTCTGTTAGAAACAAGCCAAAACTATTTACCAGTGCTGTACGAAAAATAAATACTTCAGTATTAATGTTTTATAAAAAGCAAATATATTTCTGTCTTAAGGTCAGAGACTGCTTAACACTGGTATAATCCAACTAGACTTCTGTAATAGAAACTTGCGGTCTCATTTCTAATATGTTTGTGGTTACAACACTTCAGCAAATGACAAACTATGGAAAAACTGAATGCAGTCTGTTTGGAAATGTCGATGAGTCAATTTCATCACTCAAAATGCAGAAATGAGAAACCCACTCACTTTTGAAGCAAAATGAAGGACAAACGTGAGGGTTAACTGCATAATTAATATGGATGGCAGGTAATCAAACATGCTGCAACGACGGAGTGCCAGAATCCATCCTTTTAAACAGGCTTTACAATGCAAATGAAGAGACACCTATACCTTCTGGCAAAAATGTATGTTCTTCATGTGAAATTATTGAAACTGCTCGTAGCAAGAACAAATGCTGTAAGCAAACATTAACAAAAGCAATTATCTATGAAAGGCTATAAGTGGGGTCCAAATGTCTGAGATCACACTGAAAATACATTTAAAATATAATGTAAAAGGGGAAATAAACAATTAAACAAAGATTTTGAAAAATGTAACAAAGAAACACTATGAAATATTGAACCTTCATGTTCAAAATGAAACAATGATTGCAATAACTTTTACACGATGTTATGATTCACTCAACTCAGATGCGATACAATTTTCTCACGTTTTTTCAACAAAATGGGATTTAAGACAAATTATAAATGAAAAAGGTGTCCTTTTATTATTGCGTGGACAAAATGTGGCACATTTCTTTGAGAAATTAAAATATGTCGAATAACATAACTAAATTGAAATTTTAAAGCAAACCCCAAATCAAATCTCTTCATATAAACAAACTAAGGCTTTGCCTGTGCTCTTTCCATTTAAAATTAGAGGCAACCACTGCATTTTAATTATGATCCAAGCATGCAGCACGAGCAGTTTTTTAATCTAAATTCAACCGTTTTTAATCTAAATAAAAAAACTAAAATCTAAAAAAAAAAATCCTACCCCAACTGCATCGCGATTCGTTTAACATCTCAACCGATTTAAATCGTCACATTATTTGTATTGATTTTACAGCCCTACTAATTATTAAAGAAAAACTGTATTATATTTTGAAAGACTGCAAAATATAAGAATTTGGATCTCACTGTCAATATGATATTACAAACATACTTAAAGTATCATTCATGACAATAGCACAAATGCTGGATGAGTTATGAACCAATTCCTACACACACACACACAACAAAAAACAACAACAACAACAACATCTGTAAATACATTTAACATACTTGCTAAATTGATTTCGATCTTGTTCTTCACAGACAGATATCATGCATACGTACAACAAAATGTGGCGCTCACCCCAATGTTGAAGTTTCCAGTGAAATAGTCGAGGTTTGTCTGGATGAAGCCGATGTTTGTCAATCCGAGCTGAGCGCTTCGGTCTCTGGCCCGGACCAAAGACTCCTCTTTATTTTCAATGAGAATAACCTTAAAGAAAACAAAAAAAGGGGATATTTCAACATGCCACATATAATATCTTTTACAGTTTACTGGTTCGTTGCCAAATTGCTCATTGATTCTCAAACTGCTTATCTTTGAAAAGCCATTTCATCAAAAGGAAAGAAAATCAGGAGATAAAACGAAGTACATCTTCTAAATGACTACCTAATAATCCACTGAACCATCAAATGTGTATTAGTGCTCAAAGAGTATTGTAACGCAGAGCTGATTTTCCTATTCGCGCTGGTTAAAGTACAAGCTTCCCAAGGACTTTGGGGAAGAAAAAAAAAACCTCAACATTGGTTTATTTTTCCAGTGTCTACAAATGAGGTCACCTGGGAGGAAGACAGATTTAGTTTCTCTTCTTTGACTCCTTTAACTTGAACTTGCTTCACTTGAACAAATCAGAAAGTCTTACCTGACATTTAGGAAGCGTGTACGCCAAAACAATCCCAACGTGCCCCTAAGAAAACAAACAAAGAGAAAGCTGCAGAAGATCTTGGAGAAGCAGACTTTAAAGAGCTCATCAGATCAAAGTCTGCTGACGAGAACACAGACGCCCATCAGAATATTGACCTGTTGCTCACAGGCCTTATATGGATGCACAGAACAACATGAGCACTCCCTAAGATTACATGAGGTGACAAGGGAGGAGAACAGATGCTTACTGACACACATACAGACTCTCGTAAGAAAACAGAAACAAGTCCAAGACGTTTTTAAAATGTCAGAAGGCAACTTACCCCTCCTCTGCAGAAATCCACCACCGTGTGCCCAGGGTGGGCCAGCTCCGTCACCACGGCAACCAGGTTGTTGAGCTGCTGTTGTTTGCGCACGGCACGGGCGTCTGACATCTTACCTAGAAAAAAGTGAACATTGAGACTGAGACGGCCGACGGCAACCCACTAAAACAAGATTCTTAACAAAAGCCACAATAAAAATGAGTGTCCATGTTACAAATCATACATGAATCAGTAGATAATGTACAGGCAGCAGTTTATTGCAAAATAAAGCCAGATCAGAATCAGTCCATCAGCCTTAAAGGGATAGTTCACCCCAAAATGAAAATTCTGTCATTAATTACTCACCCTCATGTCGTTGCAAACCCGTAAGACCTTCGTTCATCTTCGGAACACAAATTAAGATATTTTTGATTAAATCCGAGAGCTCTCAGACCCTGTATAGACAGCAACGCAACTGTAATGTTCCCAGGTCCAGAAACGTAGTAAGGACATCGGTAAAACAGTCCATGTGACATCAGTGGCTCAACTTCAGTTTTGCGAAGCTACGAGAATCCTTTTTGAGCGCAAAGAAAACAAAAATAACAATTTATTTAACGATTCTTCTCCCCCGAGTTACGTCTTCCGCCATTTTGGAGAGTATAAGAGCATAATCAACGTAATCAGCGTTGTTTAGGCTTAGGGGAAAGCGTGCGTATATGCATTGTGATACTCTCTAAAATGGCGTAATAATAATACATTTGTGTTCCGAAGACGAACGAAGGGTGAGGGTGAGACATGAGGGTGAGTAATTAATGACAGAATTTTCATTTTTGGGTAAACTATCCTTTTAATGAGTTTATTATGAGAATGACTGGCTGATTTTGCATAACAAACAAATAATACAACAACAAATAAATATAATTAAACAAACAGATTGAAATAAATTAGATATAAACAAACAACAAACAGATATAAATAAAAATAACAGATCAAATCAAATAAATAGATAAAGAATAAAACAAACTTTTTTTTTGTAAAAAAACAACAAAAAAGTTTTAATTATTTTATTATAAGAGAAGAAAGAGACTTGCATAGCTATGTATGAAATAACAGATTAAAATCAAATAAAATAAAAAGTAAAATGAAATAAACTATGGTCTTTGTTAAAAATGTTTTAAGTTTAAATTATTTTATTATAAAAAATAAAAAAGAGACTGGCAAAACGATGTAGGAAATAACAAACAAACGTTTATTATAAGAAATGAAAAAGGTGGAATGATTCTAGAGACAAGCAAAGATATGTAGGAAAGGATGGATGGATAAAAACAAACTACTGTTTTTGTCAAAAAAAATTATAATTATTAAATAAGTAAATTATTTTATTATAAGAGAATGTGAAAAATGTGAATTGATTCTAAAGACTAGCAAAGCTATGTGGGAAATCAGCTTTATATTATAGCAAATTAAATAAACAATTATTTATATACAAGTATAGTGAGTGAGTATTGTGATTTATATTTAAGTAAAGTGAGCACGAACATTTCACTACATTACAGACATTCAAATATTTAAACAACCACTGAAAAAGGCATGGTTAAGAAAGAAATTGGATGTATTATTATTAATACCATAAATATTTGTGTATTAATAATACATATTCACAAAAACTAAACATGAAGTGCATTGTTATTAAGCACATAAAGGGTCAAGGTAGGGTATACGTATCATAAAAACTACTACTAAGACATGTGGTTGTCTAGTGATGAGAAGCATTCTTTTGTTACTTCGTTTGTCTTGTCCTTCGCTCAGAACATCAGTATAAACAAGCTAATGAATAACACCATTCGCTGCATTTAGCATTCTTACAATTCACAAATGGAACAGAGAACCGCCAAGCACCACTTTCAGCTGTGATTAAACGGATTGAATTATTTAAGCGGCTGTGTGAGAAACGTTAAAAGCTCTAGAAAATACTTTTTTTTTACACCTTTTCTTCCTAGCCACTCAAGTCGTCTCAAACTTTAATTGGAGTTGAAGGCTGTTTTCACACAGCCACTCTCTCTGCCACGGGGAATAAATTTGCAGCAGATTTCCTGTTTTGAAGCGAGTGCTCAAGCTGCGTTGAAGAAACACCATCAGTGTAATATAAATCACAGACGCGTCTGCTGTGCACTGCTGCGCTCATTTTATGCACAACTCTCTGATGAGAGCGGAAGTGCTACCTGGAGCCAAATAGGAAACAAACCACAAAACAGCCTAACAAAGCTTTGTACCGTTTTGTTTATCATGCGTCATCAATGCCTGATAATTAACCTCTATGTTTCTGACAGGCAACAAAAGAATCAGGCTCAGGTGAGGAAGAAAAGACAAACAGGCCGATTCTTTTGCAAAAAGACGCCTGTGGAATTTGCATGTGTTGTCTTTCTCTAACAGGATTGAGCGCTATCAGAGTGGAGCAGATAGACAGTATGCAGTGAAGATGTAACTCTTTACCCGAGAGCACAGTCTCTGAGAGGCATAAATCCAGAGGAATGTCGGCGTGCCGTCAAAAAAACCATCTCTCGCACATCAAGAGAATCAAATCCTTCTGAAAACCTGCAATCCTTCCAATGAACAATGAGCTTTTGATATTTTCACCAGAGAAGGCAATGGATTAGAACACTAAAATGAATTTATTGTGATATGCCGATTATCGTAATTCATTAAAAGCATATCCGCATTAGCTGATTAGCTACAAGTCCAAAAGAAGATCATTAAAAGGTATTAACATGACTGCGACAGAAAAGTAGAGAATTGAATAAACAAAAAAGTGTCTTAAGTCACTTTTATTAAGCATAAACCCATCACTGGCTCACAGTCCACAGCAATCCATTTTACAAACGAGATTTCATCACATGTTCATTAATGATCCTTTTAGTCTCATATTTCATAATTTGCTGTCTTCACACCACTGTCAAAAAGTGGCAAAAAGGACAAAAAAATAAATAAAACAAAACACAGAACAAGCAAATAAGCAAGTACATTAAATAAATAAATAAGTTTGAATCCTGTGAATCTCATTTCCCATAATTTGCTGTCCTTTCACCACTGTCAAATCAAAAGTGGCTAAACTAAATGTATTAAATAAAAAATAAAAAACAGAAGGAAGGAAGGAAGGGCATGCACTCATGATTTTTGAGGAGGCACGTGGGGTGGGGGGGTCATGCGTGTCATGTGACACACAGCAGCCACGATAGCACTGCATATCTGATATAGTCTTATGTTTTATTTATTTTTTTATTTTTGTATTTTTGTCTTTTGGAAGCTGCATTCAAAATGCACTTGGCTCATGGGTATGACGCCTCTGGATGGATGGATGGATGGATGGAAGGAAGGAAAGAAAAGAAAAGAAAAGAAAAGAAAAGAAAAGAAAAGAAAAGAAAAGAAAAGAGAGAAGAAAAGAGATCACTACACCAAAATGTGACTCTTAAAATACATAATGGTCAAGCTCCTAAAAGCTGTATTCTGCAGACAGAAAACTGGCGCTGAGAGGGATGAAGGAGAAACCAAGCAGAAAGATGTTCATAGAATAATGAGATATATTGATCAGGCAGAGTTTTTAATTTACCTGAGATAGCCAGCTTTGGTTCACAACCCCCTGCAGTCCTTTGAGACAAACAGAGAGAGTGATAATGAAGACACTGATGATTGAGACGAGACGCAAGAAAGATGTGTATATGTCGGGAAGAGAAAGGATGAAACAAATAAGAAAAGATCATGAGGTCCAATCAGAGCTGCACTGATATAATGATACACCAGTATTGCAATTCTTTTCCTCAAGATATAGCTTTTTCACTCGACTTTAGATCCATGTTTATTTATGTGCCCTTTCATATATTATGCGACAGTTCAAATAATGAAGGAACATGCAGGCTGTTTTAATAAACTGGCATTTCTCAGTGTGGTCACCTGTGTACTACCTGTACTTCAATTCTTACCTCTGAATGACGTCACTAACAACAATACCATCATGTACAGTAATGCATTGATCTTAAGGGGTGGTTATCTCAGCTACCTTACAATGCTGGTTTAAGAGACCAGTTTTTCCATTAACTGAACTGTAGGAGATAATATAATAGGAAAACAGAATTAAAGAGCTGATTGCATCAATGCAATATTGTAAGATATAATAATAGGCTAATATTAATAATATCATATTCTAGAATTAAATCATAAAAAATTAAATTATATTTGTACATGTTTTAAAAAAAAAAGGGGAAAAAAGCATATTATGCTAACCAAGGCTACATTTATTTGGTTAAATATACAGTAAAAACTGTAATATTTGTGAAATATTATTACAATTTAAAATGTCTGTTTTCTGTTTGAATATATTGTAAAATGTAATTTATTCCTGTGATGCAAAGCTGAATTTTCAGCATCATTACTCCAGTCTTCAGTGTCCCATGATCCTTCAGAAATCATTCTAATATGCTGAATTTTGCTCAAGAAATATTTCTTATTATTATCAGTGTTGAAAACAGTTGTGCTAATTAACATTTCTGTGGAAACCACAATAACATTTTTCAGTATTTTTTGATGAACAGAAAGCTCAAAAGAACGGCATTTATTTGAAATAGAAATCGAACATTCGATCAGTTTAATGCATCCATGCTGAATAAAAGAAAAACATCTTATTGATCCCAAACTTTTGAACAGTAGTGAATCAATATGTGATTCAGAACAGCAAACTGCAACGTGCAATGCTCCCACTGAACTAGTATTTTCAAAACCGACAGAATAGAGGATGAGAAAATGAAAAACAGCGTCTCGCTTTTCAACATAACTCAGCTTATAAGAGCTTCCGATGGCCTTCCAGCCAGCGAACCAACAGGAGAATATTTTCCAGCAATCCAGACCTCAATTTCCTTCCTTTCTGCTGTAAAGTGTGAATGTGTGAGGGTAAGCAGGGGAGGGGGAAGACACAAAAGCAGAAGAAAACAGGCCCCTTGAGTGAACGATCAGAATAGCATGTTCAAGTGGCTACATCTGTGTTTGCGAGATGAGGAGAGGCCTGAAAGAATTGTTCAGGAGGACATCCTCAAGGTTGTTTTTCTGCTAACTATTCCCAGTCACAGCTTCAGTGAGCAATTGGGAG